AAAGTAACTGAAAACCCGATATCGAATTGTTTTTGAATGAGTGAGTCCGTTTTTACCACAAGCAGTTTAGGTTAATCAAAATTAGTTTTTTATTAATCCTCGGTTCTCCTATCCCCCGCAAAATGGGCACTGTATTTCTGAAAAGTTTACTTGTGTGTTGTATACACTATTTATTATTGTTATCATAATGATTATATAAATTTAAACTGAAAACCTGAAGCAGGACATTAGTATATTTACGCATTTCCGCTACGTCAATATACGTCACAGAATTCCTCAGTGCTTATGTTGTCTTAGGCCGAACTTAAACCATCTTATTGTAAGTTATCTTTGTTAGAATTGTGGTTGTAGGTTATAACTTAAGGGTAAGGACACTACAGAAAATTGTTTTCTGGTAGGTATTAACGAAACCTAATCTAAAATTGTTAATTTAATCTAGATATATTTACTTAGAGCTTAAATAAAAGAGTACTTATAACTGCTCAAATTAGTTTTTCATGTAACGTTAACTTGGCCGAAAGAAAACGACATCCGGTAAATTTGACTGATGTGATGATGAAGTTAGTAAATGAGTATTAGTGTTACTGTTAGTACAAGTATTACTTCTACATTCAAATAACGAATATGTTACTTATGAATTATATATTTTAGAACATTGGGAAATATAACAACCCATATGATTAGTTCATCATATTTACCTCGGTAATTATGAATCGTGATTTTATAACCGTTAATAACAATAATAATATTTCAATAAAGATTATTAACGTTAATTTTTAGGCTACTAATACTAATAGTGTTATTATAGTAATACTAATAGGTCTGATTATTTGGTTTATTTACAAAGTGAAATATTTGTAATAATATCTCTAGGCCTACATAAAATCATTAAATGAGTAAGTTGCTTACAGTTTACACTTGTAGTAGTACTATCACTCAGTGTAGTAATACTAATAGTATTAGTTTTAAGACTAATGCATTTTATACGTTCATGATGTCAGAAAAACACGTAGATTCAATTAGTCTTGATAGAAATGAATAAAAACCCTATAACCCGAGCGCTTTATATTTGCTACGTACTATTAGGATTACTGCTAATTATACCATGTTATTTATTAAACAGCTTGAATGATAGTTAATAATATTATAGCTTCATTTTATCCCAACAAACCCAATGAAGTGGCAAAAGCCCAACATTACAAGCACAAATAAATATCTTTAAAATCAAACTGAAGTCACATTAGCAAAAGTAAAAACATGTAGACTGTTTTTAAGAGTTGTGTATGCAATTTTAGTTTGATTTCAAATATATTTATCTGTGCTTGGGATGTTGTTTTTGTAAGTAGTGAAAACCCAATGTACATTATTCCACAGTACTCCAGAATTTCAAAGGTAATTTCATTTACAAAGCTGTAAAAATAATGTTGACATATGATCAAAAGACAAACTGTAATAATAATAAAACAAAACCTTGTAAAATACTATCACATTTAGCTGCTTTGTTTTTGGGATGTTTGAACTTTCAGGTGGAAAGGAAAGTATTCATGTATATGAGTCTAAGATGCTAAGAAGGTTTGTTTGCATGTAAGACAGACTGTAAAGTTTGTGTTATCAAACCTGACAAAGTGTGTATTTAGGAACAAAAATAAAACATTTACCCACTGAAGTGATCAAGTCATAGAATTCTAATAAATATTAAAATAATGAAGTAATAGAATTCTAATAAGTATTAAAATAATAAAGTTATAGAATTCTAATAAATATTAAAATAATAAAGTTATAGAATTCTCTGGCCATTAAAATTTTGCCTGTTGGTTGACATTTTTGCTAGTGCTTTTTCAGTTCAGTTTCGTTTAATTGAGTTTTGTTTTGATTCTTCATTTGACAAATAACTTGTAACATAGATTGTGAGAATCTATGATCTAATTTTTCAGTCAGTTGGTACTCAGGTTGAATTCAAATTATTGCTAACATATTTCATCTTTCTAATGAAAGACAGATATTTTGTGAGCAGATATATATTAAAAGTTGATGAAAATCAGACAGAGTTACCTGAAAACTGTGTGAGTATGTATCATTACTATTCTCACTTTTTTGTAATGATACAAGAATGATTACGAGTTTAAACCTACTTCCATTTCTGTGGTCCTAACTGGAGCCTTTTGATTGAATGTTGCCTGTTTTTCATTACATAGTTATCTTAACAATTTTGTATTGTAGTTTATTAGTCGTCGTAGCTCTTGTCATTATCGTGGTTATCAGTTAATAAGAGAATAACTTTGAATTCCGTCACCGTGTTGGCAGAATCTCTTGATCCAGTCAAGCCATGATTAAAGAAGATAACACAAGGAATGTTTGACCACGGCCGTATTCTATAATATTTAAAGGGGACAGTGCTCTTCTGAGGATACTTACTTATATTATCACTTGGTGAAATAGTTAACCCACACAAATGCTTTCTTGCATCTTCATAATAATACCCTAAAAAAAAAACTACTGATTGCTAAAGTCTTTCTTGATGTAGAGAGGAATTGGGAATACAAACCTAATCAGTTGTCCAAACTGATTAACTACCCTGTAGTATACATGTATTTATTACTGTTAACTAAAATTTTATACTAAGCAGTATTACTTGTTTTCTCTTGTAGGGTTTGAATTTTTTAATTTATTCTGTTAATAGTAATTATTTTCGGATGTGTTGTCGACTTTGTTTAAGTATTTTCCTATAGATGAACATGTAATAGGCATGTTCGTGTAATATCAATATACATGAATGTGCCTACTGGTCTAACACTAACATATATGTGAATTAAAAATGGCGATTAAGTATCCTTGTGTAAGTACACACACTTGTATATACATATACAGAAATGTAGATTTATCTTAAACTTATCATCATCATCATCATC